GCTGGTGGTACAGGAGGTACTGCGGCTACTGGTCCTGGAGGTGCTCGTACCCGGGGTACTGGAGCTGCCGGGACTGGTGGTGTAGGAGTTGCTAGAGCTGGAGACCCTACGGAGCCTGGAGCTGCTGGGACTGGAGGCACTGGCGCTGGTGGCCTGGAGCTGGAAGAGCTAGAGCTGGAGGCCCTGGCGCGGGAGGCGCTGGAGCTGGAGGAGCTGGAGCTGTTGACCCTGGAGCTGTAGTTGCTGGTGCTGGAGGCACTGCGCGGTAGTGGGGTATTGTGTAGGCTATAGTGGGGTTGCCAATAAGGGGTACAACCCAATTAGGGTTAGTACTTGTACCCAACTCTTTCATAGTTCATTCATTCTCGTTCATTCTTCTGACACTGCGAACTCCACATGCCGACGGGCTTCGCGAGGCTCCTGCCGGTTTGGTGTGGCCCCGTTCCTCTCCATGCTAGGCATCGATTGAGCGGCGCCATCACTGGCTGCGCCTGAGGGCTGTCCCACACTGTCGTGTGGTGTCGGTGTGCCGGATGAGATGACAATTGGCTCCTCCGATTGCTTGGGTGCATTTGCAGGTGCGTGTGTTGGTGCTGGTGCATTCACTGTTGATTGCTGGCGAGCGGAGTCGCGTTCCGCCGTGAGTGCCGCTATTTCGAGCGCTGAATCTTGGAGTTGGCGCACGAGACGGTCGACTTGCTCTTGTGTCAGTGTCGCGAGATTGAATTCGGCCATGGCGGGGGTGTCGGGCAAGCTCAGCGAGAGCCTCTGTCGTGGCCATGCGTGCTTACGAGAGAGCACTTTGAGCGGCGGTGCTTGTTCGCTAAGAGACGTCTATCCCCTCCAAAAAATGAGATAGTGGGGAAGCGAAGGTGTGGGTGCGATCCGAGAAGAGATCGTAGGCTCTGAATACCAAGTGTTACGAGTGCAATTGAGCGAGCGAGAATTGCACTATCGAAGCAAGAGTACAATGAGCGAAGGTATGAGGGAAGAATTTCTAGCGAAACTACAGTGGTAACGGTAATGTGTGAAAATGGGGTGCGCGACGGGCCTAGCGCCGAGGTTGGGAATTGTCGAGGCGGAGGTCCGGAGCGCAGGTTACCAACCGAACCGCGAGGTTGGGTCGCGTCGTGAACAGTGGCGGGAACACTATCGAAGCGAGTGTTGCGAGTGGTAACGGTTTTTCTGTTGGGTGCTGTTGGCAGGATCAGTGGTATACGCGCTGAGCAGGGACGCGAAATAAGGAAAATGAAATTTCCTTACATTGCCACATCGTGAATATTGCTGTGGAAGCAGCATTTTTTTTTCCACCTCAGCATTCAACGCAGACACGTGTAATCTCCACAGATTTGGCGTGAATTCCGACGAAAGATCAGTGGAACAAGTTCCTCCCACAAGCAACGAGGGAGTTTTCCATCAAAAACTCATAGTGAGGTCGTCCGACATTGCTTCCAGAAGCTGCAACGTCGTGAGACTCGGTCGGAACGATTTGAGTTGCCTCGCAGTCTTGAATGTGTAACATGAAATTGGCGACAAAGACTGCTGAATGTGTAACATGAAATGGGCTTCGCCAACTGCAACTAGCTTCGTTCATGAAGTTCCCGTTAGTGAAACGGTTGCCCCAACCCTAGGTTCAAACTTTGAAGATCCTCGCTTCAGAAAACACGGCCTTCAAGCAGGACTTGCCAAGTCACAGGAGCATCCATGCCTGCATTGGCGACAGCAGCAACTTCAGAAACAGCTAGACACAGCAACTTTAGGATGCAATGCAGTGCATGTGACCACCGCGTAGCTGCACCCCTCGTTTCGCATCTTCACTCTCATTAACGAGATTCCTCGAAACTCCTGAGGCCGACCTTGGCTGATATTCCATTTGATATCTTCATCTCGATTTAGATTCTGCTCCTTGGTCATTCTATGGCTGCCTGCTTTCGCCTTGTTCCGACAGCTACTTGCCGCTTGGTACGCGAATTTTCTGACGTTTTTCACGAGCGCTCATTGTTCAGTAGCATTTTCTCCAGCTTTTAAATCTAAGCCTCGCTGTGTTCGCCACCTTCGCTTGCCTCATCGTGCGAAATATCTCTCCCGTTGCGTGCAGGATCTGCAGAACCGTGCAGGACCCATTCTGTTCAGCGCCTCGTCTGCATCGTCCACTCCGAAAGCGCTCAGGTCCGCGATCGGGGCTTCGCGTGACCGTAGGGAGCCATTTTGGTTGTGCGGACTCATTACTAATTTTGAATCTGACTCATTAGTCATCCTATCTCGAAAGCGCTCAGGTCCGCGATCGTGGCCTTGCCTGACCGTAGGGAGCCTTCGTGGTGCACCGAACAGTGACCTGTTAGCTACAAGCTCGTGGAGCCATTCGTATAGTGACAGTGACTCGGAAAACATTCGTGAAATCACTTCCGTCTGTTGACTACAACAGACTTTTGAGTCGACTCAAAAGTCACTTCCGTCTGTTGACTACAACAGCTGGTCATGTGGTAGTCCCACGTGGTAGCTCCACGTCGTTCCTCGGCTCCTCTGTGCTCCTCCTCTTTCCGGACGAAGACCTTTGGGTTTTCTTAAGAGTCGCATATTCTCCCCTTCAAACTTTGTTGACGGCTGTGGATCCAGCTCCCAGCCCAGTTCCTGAAATTTCTCTGCCCCGTCACTCCCTTTTCGTGCTGTTGAGACGGATCAAAAGCCAGTATATTTCCCTCGGTTGCCTGTTGCAGCTTGTGCAATTCCAGATCAGCCCACTTCCTCGGCTCCTCTCTGCTGCTGCACTCCCTTGGCGGCGAAGGCGCGTGGTCCAGGCAAGCAAGCAGCGCGAGCCGTGCACACCGCCGCTCCTGCAGCACGTTCGTCCACGCCATGGCTGCAGGTACTGTGTATGGCGCTGACGTGATGGGTGGGGTGTTGCCATGGCTGCAGGTAGGCACGGGGCTGTTGTGATGGATGGGGTGTGGTGCTGAAGTGATGGGTGGGGTGTGGTCGAGGCTGCAGGTACTGCATGTGGTGCTGAGGTGATGGGTGGAGTGTGGTCCAGGCAAAGAAGCAGCGCGAGGCGTGCACGCCGCCGATCTTGCAGCACGCTCATCCACGCCATGGCTGCAGTCTTTGCTTCGCCCCTCCCTGGTTTCTTTTCAAACGATCTTAAAGCCCTCTGCTCACTGTCTCTGCCCGCCCTTCCAACAGTGCTGATGGTTTTCAGCCCCATGTACTGTCATGCACAATCACAGTCACACACAGTCACACACAGTCACACACAGTCACACACAGTCCCTCTGATTAGTCACCCCCACCCACACATGCACTTAGTCACGGTCACATTCATGTACACTTAGACGCAGTCATACTCATGGTCTTACTCTACTTTCACACTCACTGTCCCAATTTATTTCCTCCTCTGTTGTCCTTTTCTGTCGCTGCCATTTCTCCTCCCTACTGTAATTCCCGACAACAGACTCGTGGTTTGTCTCAGGCATTCACACACTCACTCGGTTTCACACTCACACTGAGAGATGCACCTTCACAGTCACACACGCTCGCATTGGCGCTCACTCTCATAGTGCTACTTGTTGCTTCGCAACAGGTGTGCTCCCAGAGAACAGCCCCGTGGTCTCCCCTGCCTGGCTGTCACACACACTCATAGTGGCACTCGTCCTCACACTGATCCTCGCAGTGCTACTTCCTTTGTGATTCCTCTCTCTGTTGCTACCCCCCTTCTCAACAGCTGTGCTGCCAGAGAACAGCCCCTAGCATCACGAGGTGGCAGGTGGTGTGGTAGCATCACGAGGTGGCAGGTGGTGTAGTAGCATCACGAGGTGGCAGGTGGCGTAGTAGCATCACGAGGTGGCAGGTGGTGTGGTAGCATCCCGAGGTGGCAGGTGGTGTGGTAGCATCACGAGGTGGCAGGTGGTGTGGTAGCATCACGAGGTGGCAGGTGGTGTGGTAGCATCACGAGGTGGCAGGTGGTGTGGTAGCATCACGAGGTGGCAGGTGGTGTAGTAGCATCACGAGGTGGCAGGTGGTGTGGTAGCATCACGAGGTGGCAGGTGGTGTGGTAGCATCACGAGGTGGCAGGTGGTGGTGTGGCATCACGAGGTGGCAGGTGGTGTGGTAGCATCACGAGGTGGCAGGTGGTGTGGTAGCATCACGAGGTGGCAGGTGGTGTGGTAGCATCACGAGGTGGCAGGTGGTGGTGTGGCATCACGAGGTGGCAGGTGGTGTGGTAGCATCACGAGGTGGCAGGTGGTGTGGTAGCATCACGAGGTGGCAGGTGGTGGTGTGGCATCACGAGGTGGTGTGCGGCGTGGTAACATCACAAGTTGGTGGGTGGTGCAGCTGTATCACGAGAAGGTGCGTGAAGTGGTAGGATTACGAGAAGGTCGGTGAAATGTTAGGATTACAAAAACATTGGTGGTGTGGCAGGATATGAGGACCCACCTTCATCTTGATCTTTTCATGATCTTGCCACGCACATCACCAACCGTTTTGTAATCCTGCTACTCCACCCACTTTCTCGTAATCCTGCCACACTACTCACCTTCTCGTGATCCTAGCACACCGTTGTCCACCCCATGATGTTACCACACCACCCTCCTGCTTTCTCATCTACCATTACGCAGATTCCCCTATTACCGCCGCACCTGTGCAATAGACATTCTTTGATGTGATGTAGTGAAGTGACGCACAATGTCCCGCGTCGTGTGCTGCACATGCACACGTGCGTGGTGTGATGTCCCCCTCCCTTTTCCCCTTTTCAACCAACCCCTCGAATGACCAACAGCTGCTAGTCGCCTCGCGGTGCATGCCTGCAAAAAAATGCCCTTCAAACGCTCCTCCCCCAATGCTCAAAACACCACTTCACATGCTGTCCCCTCCTCCTCTTCAACCCCCAACCCCAACAGGTGCCTGATGCCTGGTGGTACATGCCTGGTGGTACATGCCTGGTGGTACATGCCTGGTGGTACATGCCTGGTGGTACATGCCTGGTGGTACATGCCTGGTGGTACATGCCTGCAAGGAAATGCCGCCTCCTTCAATGCTCCATCCCCACGTCTCAACCCTCCCCTCCTCTTTACCCACCCCACGACCTCTTCCCCCCTCTTAACCCCAACAGGTGCTCGACTCCTCGTAGGACATGCCTTCTGAGAAGCGCCTTAGCCTACCTGAAAATGATGTTTCCCCCTCAAAGCTCAATGCCCCACTCCTCGCCCTGTTTTCCCTCTTATCACGCAAACCCCACAGGTCCTGGACGCCTCATGGTACATGCCTGCAGAGAAACGCCAGCCGTTTGAGGAGTTTCAGGTGAGGATTGTCGTTGGTTGGTTGGTTGGTTCTGTGTGTCACAAAAGGCATGATGAGAAGAATCCGGTCTTGCTGTGCAAATACGTCTGTATCTGGTGAGGAGTTTCGAGTGTGGACATGTGAGTAACGCTCTGGATGCTGGGCTGGGAAGAGGAAGTAAGAGGGTGTGGTAGTTGGATGGACAGAGAGAACGTGTTTATTTTATGGTTCTGGATAATCAATACGGTTGAGTTTCAGGAGTTCGAGTAGACGGACAGACATATGTCACTGTCTTGCTGCCTTGCTATCTGTTTTCAAATGCCAAAATATTCGATTAAAATGTTCCCCGTGTCTCCCTTTCTGTCTCGAGGGCGCAGCATGGGAGGATTCCAGGAGCAATCTTCTTTGATATTGATGCCATTGCTGACCCCACCACGGAAGTAAGTGTCACTTGGTTAAAAAATAAAAAGTTGATGTTTGAAGTGCATCCTGCATTCAGATAAATCCTATCGTGCCACCTCCAGCCCTACACGAATTTGCCTTATTTCTGGTCACTCCCCTTGTCCCCACCTGTGTATCCCACCTGTTTTATGTTGTCTGGCAGCTTCCCCACATGCTGCCGACAGAGGCCGCCTTTTCTGCAGCTGCGTCAGCTTTGGGTTTGTCATCTAGTGACAGCATCGTGGTGTACGATGGCAAGGGGCTCTTCAGCGCTGCTAGAGCGTGGTGGTGAGTGGTTCAACGCGGTGACAAGTGGTTGTGTTTAATTTTGGTGGTGCTTCTACTGTGTGTGAGCTGGTCAAAACTGGTTAGGTGTGACATCGCGATTTCTAGCAGCGCTGGATTTGCTAGACATTGTGGTGTGACATTCGGCCAGCCACACGTGGCAGTGCTGGATGGCGATAATGACAGAAAGCTCACATCTGCCGCCGCTTCTTCTTTCCCCCCCCCCGTCCCTTCCCTTTTTCCTCCCCTTCCTCCTCTTCCTCCTCTTCCTCCTCTTCCATTGTTTCAACACTCACAGGATGTTTCGTGCATTCGGACAGCCACACGTGGCAGTGCTGGACGGCGGGCTGCCAGCCTGGCGGGCGGCAGGCTACCCAGTGGAGGCAGAGCCGTCGGACAAGGCGGCCGGGCGGCACAAGGCGGCTGCTACTGCCATCAAGGACAGTTACTCTACAAAGGTGTGTATTAGTTTACCCAAAGATAATTTGGGATCCAGAAGGACAGATACCGCCCTTTTCGCTCTCAAGACTAAAATTTCCTTACTGGTCCGCCTTCCTTGTACTCTCATTCCCCTCCTAACCTCCTCTCCCCACTCTCTCTTCCATCCAGGTGCATTAAACCGTGATTGAAGAAGTGTTTTGAGACGTCTCAAAACACTTCTTCTCTCTCTTCCATCCAGGTGCATTAAACCGTGATTGAAGAAGTGTTTTGAGACGTCTCAAAACACCACTTCTCTCTCTTCCATCCAGGTGCATTAAACCGCCTCCTCGCTTTTACACCAAGATCCACTGATGTCCCTTTTTCTGTGTCTGCACCGCCCTCTAACCATCCAGGCCGCATCCAACCGCCTGCTCACCTTCAATGCCAAGCTGCAGCCCAACCTCATCCTGTCCGTTGATCAGGTGTGTCTCCCTTGCCCCTTCGTGCCAGATAAGGCCTGCGCCAGTTAATGCCTGCACCAGTTAAGGCCTGCACCAGATGTATGTGTCCAGCACTGAACTCTAAACCAGGCGATCCTTTCAACGTTTCTTCTTCTGCTTCTTCTCCTCCTTCTTTCATGCACTTCTGCTGTCTGACTGGCAACTTTCTTAAAACCCGCCCGCGGGCCAGCCAAGGAAGCCCAAATTGGTTCAACCTTCCTAACTTCGGTTGAATGTGACCCTGGCACCCAGAATCTTGGCCGATTGCATTGCTCGCCCCAACCAACCTTCCTAACGTTGAACTTCTTGACCCGCGGGTTTTAACCGTTGAATGTCTTCAGGTGAAGGCGAATATCGAGAATAAGGTGTATCAACTGAGCGATGCCCGCTCTGCTGGCCGGTATGCTGTGGTGGGAAAGGGTGGGGTCGGATGGGGTGGGTTCGCGTGTGCTTTGGTGTGGGGGATGGGCGCGGTGGGGTGGGGTGAAGGCATGATGAAGTGTCATAAAAATGGTTTGCAGTTGATGGCATGGTGGCAAGGTGGCATGAAACCCGCTATGCCTCTTAGCTACTACTGTGTGATTGGTGCTTGCACGTTAATCAATTAAAAACTGAAGACCTTTTTTCAGTTTAACGCCGTAATGGTAACATGCCAAGATGAGAAGCTGAAGACTCATCATTGTGTTTAATCCGTAACTGCGTCCAATTCCATGTGTGATTACACCTGCTCTCATATGTACATGTATGTCTGATGTTATGCATGCACGCATGCAGGTTCAAGGGTATAGACCCTGAGCCAAGGGCAGGAGTGCGAGGAGGAAGCATCCCAGGAAGCTTTAATGTCCCCTTTCCCGAGGTATAGTTCAGCCAAATGTGAGTCTGCATTCCATTGAGCTCATTCGTAGCATAGCAAGAATGGCTCTTTAAGGTTAGTTTTGAGGCACCTCAGAACTCACCTCAATGCTCATTAGAGTCATTCATAGCACAGCAGGAATCGTTCTATTTGAATTCATTGAATATAAGCGTTGATTTAACTTCCTTGTAGAGATTCATTGAATATATAGCTGCTGACCCCACAGGGACAGTTAGAACCTGCCTCAAATCTCACCCAAGCCTTGAAATAGCTACCTGAGTGTTAGCTTCTCTCGCACTCCTTCTTCCCCCCCACACTGCCCATTGCCACTACCCATTGCCCGTTGCCCATCAGGTCCTGACCCCACAGGGACAGTTAACGCCTGCCTCAGACCTCACCCAAGCCTTCAAGAGGCACACTCACAAGCATTGCTGTGCGCTAGCTTCTCTCACCCTCCTTTCTTCCTCCCCCATTGCCCATTACCCGACGTCCCCCAGGTCCTGACCCCACAGGGACAGTTGAAGCCTGCCTCAGACCTCACCCAAGGCTTGCAATAGACCATAGCTGAGTGGCTGGTGCCTCTCACCCTTCCTTTCGCCTCCCACTGCCCATTGCCCGTTGCCCACCAGGTCCTGAACCCACAGGGACAGTTGAAGCCTGCCTCAGACCTCACCCAAGCCTTGCAATAGACCATAGCTGAGTGGCTGGTGCCTCTCACCCTTCCTTTCGCCTCCCACTGCCCACTGCCCGTTGCCCACTAGGTCCTGACCCCACAGGGACAGTTGAAGCCTGCCTCAGACCTCACCCAAGCCTTCAAGAGCGCAGGCAAGTCCATGCTCGTGATTGGCCGTGGGTAAAAAGGACTAGAAAGGGGAAGAGAAAGGGGAAGAGCAAGGGGAAGAGCAAGGGGAAGAGCAAGGGGAAGAGCAAGGGGAAGAGCAAGGGGAAGAGCAAGGGGAAGAGCAAGGGGAAGAGCAAGGGGAAGAGCAAGGGGAAGAGCAAGGGGAAGAGCAAGGGGAAGAGCAAGGGGAAGAGAAAGGGGAAGAGAAAGGGGAATTGGAATTCTCTGGTGCTGCAGCTGCTCGTTTGCTCCATGCTGCCATAACATGGCGGTGAGTTCCCTCACACATTCTGTGAGTGCCGCATGGATCCCTTTTCTCCCAAAACTCTCTGAGGCGCCCATTGTTTTGTGAGGGCCGCCTGCTTCCCTGCTCTCCCATAACTTCAGCCAGTGGTGTTGCACCTCCCCTTCCTGCCATTTTAGAAGCGCCTCAGAAGCTGGTGTTGCAACAAATCTTCTCCCCCTCCCTGCCATCACACATGGCATACCAGGATAAGGGATAAGGCTCAACTCTTCCCACATTCGCACCTCCTACGTACCTCGAATTTCACTGCCCCCTCTTACCCATCCCCCAATGACCTCTGCCCTTACTCTGTTCTGACCTCCTCTCCTTGTGTCAATCTTTGCAGGGGTGAGCGTTGAGGACCCCAAGCAGCCTCTCGCTGCCTCCTGTGGTACAGGAGTCACTGCATGTGTGCTCGCTCTGGTACGTGCACTGCACCACGCCGCACCACAGTGCACCACGAAGCACCATAGTGCACCACAAAGCACCATAGTGCACCACAAAGCACCATAGTGCACCACAAAGCACCATAGTGCACCACAAAGCACCATAGAGTACCACGAAGCACCTTAGTGCACCACGAAGCACCGTAATGCATGGTAGTGCTTCCATCCTCAGGCTGCCTCATACAGCACAGAAGTCGCTGTATGTGTGCTCTCTGTTCCCCCTGGGTTACGCTCTGATATTCGCCTTCTCTCTCTCTCTCTCTCTCTCTCTCTCTCTCTCTCTCTCTCTCTCTCTCTCTCTCTCTCTCTCTCTCTCTCTCTCTCTCTCTCTCTCTCAAGCGGTCCGTGTATTAGATCCGAGCAAGGTACAGACATGCACAAGGATATAAGAAGCAATGCATCTCAGCTTCTAAAACCCCCACATCCTACCTACCCTCCTTCACCCTCTAAGGCAGCTCCAATGCCGGCTCCAGGATGGCAAGGCAGTCCCCGAGGGACATTCCTTCGCCCGGCAGCGCCACAGGTGGGTTCTCCACCTGAGCCGCGTAGTTGCACTTCGTCATGAAGCTCACTGACTGCGCCCGCTGCAGCGCCACGGACCACCGCTGGCGGAACTGGTGCAGCAGCTTTGTTGCCTGGTAAGATGAGGGGGCCGCGTTGAAGAGCCGGCGCGCACCGGTGTCGGCCAGAAGTTTGAGGAATTGAGGGACCTCCGCGCAAGGACAGCCATAGGTATCAACGGCAAGGGGGAAGAACCCGACCCACGAGGCCGTTGAGCCCTCGTAGTCGGAGATCTTCTTCTCCGCCGCCTCCCTGGCCGCCCATCCCCTGCCCTTGACCGCGTTGGGATCCCGTGTGCTGATGGGGTCCGTGATGGTCACGTCCCCTATCCACACCGCTCCTGAGGACTTGTCCCGGATCGCAATGTCGGCTTTCTTCAGAGTGACGGGGCAGAACGTAGTCGTTTCGCTGTGAGTCATGAAGTCAGCGTCGGCGGCCATGTGTACACACGCATCGCGCAACTCATTGTGCGTGTTGGTCCGCCCCTTCCCCGTGTCGCAGCGCAGCAGGTGGTTGGGCAGGCGCCTGTCAAGGATTGCCGTCTTATTGCGGCAGTCACACGCGCCAGGTGCCGAGGAGGGTAACCCCATCCTGAACTGCAGCGCATGCGCAAAGTGAGCCGGGGCAAGCCGCAGTGTCGAGTTGAAGGGGACCGCGTTGAGCCAGTCTCCTACCCCATACCCTGAGAGTGAAAGCATGCGCTGAGTGTGCCCGCTTAGTGGGTTGAGTGGCATGATGCGTGTAGCCTGCACCTGCTCCGCGTAGCGCAGTCCGTGTATCGCGATTGCCAGCCCATGCTGCAGCTTGGCGCCCTTGGGATTAGCCCGATCGCTCTGCAGCAGCTCCTTCCCATCGTCCGGCAGTGACTCCTCACACCTCTCCAACCAGTCAAAGAGCGGGGACGTGTTGATGAAGGGCCCCACCATCTGGACCCGCGTTTCCGCCAAGGCGCCGACGGCCGACTCATCAATGGAGGTGAGCAGGTGCTGCGCTTGCGTGTAGCTTGCAAGGAACCCAACACGACCCTCCACCGAAGGGTCTGTGAGTCCCAAACCACCGAGCGAGATGGGGAGTGACGCTTGCGCCCAGGTACGTGAAATCTCGGCCTCCCCCCGTGGGTGGCGAATGCCGCAGGCAGTCAGCAACGTCTCAAACAGCTTTTTACCCCAGTCTGACCACTCCTCGACTGGCAGGGCCGAAAGCGGCGTGGTGCGGGCGACGTAAGCGATCCGCCGTGAGATGCACCGTGAGAGCAGGAGGGAAGCCAGCTGCGGCTCCATCCGCGCGATTAAGGGCAGCGGCACTCCCATGGTGTCGAGGCTGGCACGTAGGAACGCGGCGGTTGCGTCGCTGCCACCGATGAAGCTGCCAAGCACCTTCACCCCATCTTCTGTGAAAGGTACGCCCACTGGAAGCGCTGCTCCCTGCTGGCCAGCCTGAGACCAGGCCGCGCACTTGGCTGGGTTGTGGCGCAGCCCGATCTCCCCGAGGTCTCTCTCTCTCTCTCTCTCTCTCTCTCTCTCTCTCTCTCTCTCTCTCTCTCTCTCTCTCTCTCTCTCTCTCTCTCCATACCACTTTACTATTGCATCTCCTTCCCAACCTCTTCTCTCCCTTATTAAAGGCTCTGGCTCATCTGGGTTGATGGACGTGACGGATTATGATGGGACGTGACGGAATATGACGGCTCGTGGACTCAATAAAGTCTGTTTTTGAGAATTATTAACCACTAGAACCCCTTCTTTTGCACGCCTTCTTCCCCAGGCTCTGCTATTGTATCTATCTTCTCCTTTGCCCCGTTGCTGCAGGCTCTGGCTCGTCTGGGTCGGTGGGACGTGCCGGTGTATGATGGCTCGTGGACTGAGTGGGTTAGTCCTCCTCCTCCTTCTGTAATTTGTGTCCCTCACACTCTGCTATTCACCTCTCGACCCTTCTGCACCACGTGTTCTCTCTCCCTGCTGCAGGCTCTGGCTCGCCTGGGGCGGTGGGACGTGCCCGTGTATGATGGCTCGTGGACTGAGTGGGGTAGCCTGCAGGACACTCCAGTTGTCAAGGCAGAGTGATAGCAAATGCCATTTAAAGTCTAATCCAGTTTAGGGACGTCTCAAAACTCGTGCCAGTGTATGATGGCTTGTGGCGTGGACTGAGTGGAGTAGCCTGCAGGACTCTCCAGTTGTCAAGGTGGAGTGACAGCATATGGCATTTAAATTCCAATCATGCATGCGTGAAACCCCTCCCACAAAGTTGTCTGATGGATTAGGGTATCCATGTGTCGTGGTGGAGCGGAGTCTTCATGTACACGGTGTGCGGGCACCTGATTAGATGTGCCTGCCTGTTGGTGGCCATCTTCCCAGCTAGTCACTTCCGGTGAATAGAGGCTGCTTTGATACAGTAGATTGGAGACGTCCTTCCAGACTGCTGGTTCTGTGGCTGTATTGTACCTTATTGGCAAGAAATCGCTGTCCTCTAGAGGGGTTGATGATGTGTGCTTTTCAGACGATGAGATGTTCTTTCTCCCTCCCTGCCACAGTTGCCTCGGCCGCCACAGTTGCCTCGCCTGCCACCCAATCAGTGTCGTCACTCGTTAGATGGCATATGGGAAGAGCCCATGCACCACCAACCTGAGATGGAATGTTGCTGTGCATCACAGTGAAAGGCAGTGTACGGACACACACAGAGACACACAGGCAGGCACCGCACAGACACACACACAAACAGACAGACAGACACCACATACACACACATACACACACACACACACATACACACACACACATACATACATATGTTGGAAACAACTGATTTAGGCGCCTCTGTCGTGTCGAAACACCAAGACAGAAGCGAAGTAGCTCGTATCGAAATACCGGTGAGTCAACCCTCGGAGGTTGAATAACTGTTGGAGGTTACGCGAAAGTCAAAGGTCAGCGACCTTTGACCTGACAAATGCAGCGCGACAGCAAGGACAACCAACTGTCTCGATACTGAGCAGTTGCCCGAGTCGACACTGTATCGAACCGCAACAGCAACAGTAAAACAGTTAACTGTATCTCTTCATATTCCTTTGTATTCTTATAAAAGCTTGTATCTCTTTTATTATCATCAACTTACCGTATGGCCCCGGATAGTAGCGCATATGCGCTTATAATAAAATCTTTTTTTTTAGGGGTGGCGCTAGTAATTGAGGAACGGCCATAAGCGCCGGCGCTTTTATAACGGCAAAAATGATTTTCGAATTCAAACGAACCAAATTGAAGCTCTCAATAAGGCGAATACAATGATGTGACGTGCGCATGGGATCGTGCATGGAATCACGGCGAAACTTGCCGCGATTCGAATTCCCACCACACAAAACCTGTCTAGGAGCAACGCACCTGCCAGCGCTGACGCGTAACCTGTCGTGCGGCCCAATGAGGTCGTCATGCGCTGCCAGGCAGGAGCATCTCGACCGAACCCTCTAGAAAGGGGGTAGAAGATGCCCGGCCAGCGCAGCATGGATGGTTCCATGAACCCTCCTCTGCGGGTTCAGGCAGAGGGGCAACCCTCGTTCATTGACGAGGACCCCGAGGCGCCATGCCGAAGGGGTCCCCTTCATTCTTTCATTTCTTGCATCTTTCATCCAGTTTTTCATTCAGTTTCTCGTTCTTTCCCGCCAGGCTGCGGAAGCCATGGCGGAATTCACCGGCACCCATTTCTTGTTTAAGAAGAAGCCTTCTGCTAGGCCCGCGTTTAGAGTTGACGCTGACGGGTGGTATTCCCGTATCCCACCAGAGCCACCACAACCTCCTGCGCCTCCTGCGCCGCCTGCTCCTCCTGCGCCTCCTGCGCCTCCTGCTCCTCCTGCTCCTCCCGTTCCTCCGTCTCCTGCATATCCCGTGCATCCTGTGTTCACGGGCAATCAGCCCGTGCTCACGCTCCTTCTCCCTTCGGCGTTCGATGAGTACCTCTCTGAACCGGACTGCGACAAGCGCCAAGATGAGTATGTAGCAGCTCCGGCCCCGGCACCACGATGGGGACAGCCCGATGACTGCAACTGGGATGAATCTGCTGTCGGCGCAGACGACGAGGTGGCTGACGCCGAAGAGGAGTGGCACGCTGAGCGCAACACCGGCGGCGAGGGTGGCACGGAGGGTGGCACCGAGGCCGGCACCGCTGAGGATGTGTTTCACGAGGGTGCTCCGGGCGGCGACGATGACGACGGCGTCGAGTATTGGTCACG